TTTTTGCTTTGACCTTTGATCGTGTCATGTGAGCGGAAAAAATTCTGCTCACATGCTCACTCAGCCCACGTGACCCCACGTGATATGAATAATAGAAGAGGGTGTGGTATCATGGAGCTGGAAGGACTTTCACTTACTAAAGTGAATAAGTTTTATTTATATTGGCAATAATAATTATTATCATAATAATTACTAGGGATGTTTAGCTGTTGCACCAAAGAAGGTTCAGCAATCATCAAGTATCAAAATATTTTTTAATAATTAATAATCATTAATAATATTTTTAGTCAGTTTCACTAAGCATCCAAGCGAGACTGAGAAAGAGGCTCAGAGACGATGCCAGAAATACCAAAAGTGTTTGACGCAAATCGAAGGAAAGATAGATGTGAGATTATTCCTTTATATTGTCATGAATGTGTTGGTCCCTTTGATCAATACTTGATGTATAGGACCTTATGAAAGAGTTTGAAGATGGCTACCACAATGATATTAAAGATTACGTTAGCTCAGTGAGACAAGACTTGACCTTACCAAGAATACCAGCATGTGTCTTCAATGGAGGTACAGTATGTCACGCCTCCTTTTAATCTGTTGATAAGTCTTCTCTTGGTTGGTTTGTTGTATTATTATACTCCTCCATTTTAATATTCTTAGGTTTTGATGTGTCTGTTAATCTGTTTGATAAACTGAAGGAGTCTCTATCTTCAATAACTTCTATCATTGTCAACGTACAAGTATATTCAAGTAGGAACTGTGGATAAGAGAAAGAGGGGACATATTCATTAATTGACATTATGATGATACACTGTAAAGTGACTAGTTATTCTTTTACTGTTAAAGGTATGAAGGCATTAATGAAAGATATATTTCAGCAGCTATTATCACTTGAGGAGGAGGTACTAATGTTAATTGATATGGTAATGAATATTTAATGAGCACATTAGGCTTATACTGGTTCTATTCCAGACTGCTCCATCAGCACAATATGTGACTGGTACAGGTCTTACACCATCAGTGTAAGTAAAGGGGGGCCAGGATCAACTGATATAGTTATAATCTGATACATATACTTGTACTTATGCTGTGTAGCAAGTTTGAGCTGATTCTGACTTCAATTTTTTTAGTGTCGGCCATTTTAAGAAAAAGTTGAAAATCTGAAAATTACCCTGTACTATAGCCCATAGTTTTTTCCAAAAAATGGCTCCAAAATCACTCCAAATTTTTATTACATTTTCTGATACATATTGATGTATTTATGCTATGTAGAGAGTTTGAGCTGATTCCGACTTTAATTTTTCAAGCTACGGCCATTTTAAGAAAACTTCAAAAATCTGAAAAATACCCAAGGCTATAGTTCATGGTTTTTTCCAAAAAATGGCCAAAAATTGACCCCCATTTTTATTACATTTTCTGATACATATTGATGTCCTTATGCTGTGTAGAAAGTTTGAGATGATTCCAACTTCAATTTTTAAAGTTATGGCCATTTTGAGAAAACGTCGGAAATCTGAAAAATACCCAAGGCTATAGCCCATGGTTTTTCCCCAAAAAATGGCTCCGAAATCACTCCAAATTTTTATTACATTTTCTGATACATATTGATGTCCTTATGCTGTGTAGAAAGTTTGAGCCGATTCCGACTTCAATTTTTCAAGTTATGGCCATTTTTAAGAAATGCCAAAAATTTGAAAAATACCCAAGGTATAGCCCATGGTTTTTTCCAAAAAATGGCGACGAAATCCCCCCAAATTTTTATTACATTTTCTGATACATATACATATGCATGTACTTATGGTGTCTATATTCATTCCTTAGGATGATGCTGGTCAGTCTCCTCCTCCAGTTGTGTTAGTGATTGAATGTATTGAGTCAGTTCCTGTCCCTCTATTGACTGAGCTCCTACTGATACTTCAGTGAGTCAGTCTACTGTACATTTACTAGTGATACTGTAATTGTGGCATTACTGAAGGCGTGTTTCATCTAAAGTGTATCAGTTGATAGTATTTCCTCAGCTCATAGTATTTAATTGGTTGTGCTACAGCATTCCCTAAACCATTACACATTAATACTTGCTCTAGTGGCTACTCTTCTTTTCCTTCCTGTGGCTCCAAGTGCTACTCATTCCTCACTCACCCACTGGACCATTAGTGGCTTCCTTTAGTACATTATCCACTGGATATTAGCACTGGATTCATTATACAAATCATTTATTTGAAATATTTGCACAATCAAAACTAATAAATTATAAACTACCATCAAACACAATAGCTAACACACAGTAATCCCCCTATCAAATTCCAACAACAACAACAACAACAATAATAATAATAATAATAATAATAATAATAATAATAATGTTATTATTTCCACTTGAGTAAGGTCACTCCTCCAGTGCAGTCTCCGCCCATTATAACTGCTTCCCCTGGTTCCTGTCCTTGTATAGCTCCCATTGCCTCTATTGATGAGGTCCAGTTAAAATGGCCGACCTGACGGAGGTGGCCAGACTTATCAACGGCCTCTGTACTCCACATCTTGATGGTAGAGTCCAGGGACCCAGTGATGAGGAACTGGTTGAATGACGTTATTGAAGACACTCCATCAGCATGTACTGTCTGAGTTGCTATGAATGTCTTAGAAGATATACTCCACAAATGAACCTGTCCTGAGCTGTCAGCAATGGCTATGTACTTGTCCTGTACTGGTGTCATTGCTAGTGGCCATACCTTGTTCTCCTCCTCACCAGTCCTGGTTGATACTGGTATCTTGTGTTGCTGTCCTGCTACTGTCACTGGTCCTGAAGCACTCTTCCTTCCTTTACCTGTCCCTGGAGGTTTAGGTGGTGGATATTCAACCATAACCTGATCAACTCCTATAGAATACACTGTGCTCTGATTGCTGCCAGTACTAACAGTACAAGTATCTATAACCCAGTCCTTGTGACCCTCCATCTTAGCTACTGGTCTCCTTCCATTATGTAGTGCCATTAGTTGGTTGTTCCATGAACTGGCTATCAAGAAGTTCCTGTCATTTGTTAGTCTAACCTGTGAAATAGGGGCGGGGCCCATTAGGTTCTTAGAAGGTATTGTTACTACCAGTGATGGGTATTCCTTCTCTGTTAGTTTCCAAACCGTTATCTCCCCTGTGTCACTCCCTACCACCACTTGTAAGTTCTTTGACATCTCAACGGCAGTTAGTGCCTTATCTGAAACTCTCACCTTGTAGAGGTGTGAAAGAGGTGTGGTCTCATTGTGTACATGTACCATGAAGTACCCGTCCCGTCCAATGGTAGTGGCTAGGATGTTACCACTAGACTCCACCTTCACTAACCTGACCCCAGTCACTGGCCCCACGTGAGCTCTACTGGTGCATCCACTGGCTACTAGCAGCCTCTCTGGCTGGGGCAGGGCCGGTCTCCAGACTCTAATAGTCTCGTCCAAGGAGGTGGTAACGATGGTATCAGACTGGGAACATGTCACTGCTAGTACCCTGTCCGAGTGCCCACTGAGTGTCATTAGTTCATTGGGTATGAAAGGTTTCCAAATGTTGACAGTTCCCTCGTCACTGGTACTGAGTATTATGATATTACTCAGTTCTTTCTTGGACTGGGTTGATTTCAAACTGGGGTCAATGTCACCTGCTCCCTCTCCCTCCTCCTCTGTCTCCCCCCATAGCTCATCACTGGCCCCTCCAGTCAGTGAGCTTATGGTGACACTGTTCACTCTTTGGCTGTGTCCCTTTAGTGTTGTTATCTTTACTCCTTTCCTGGTCCATACTTTAATGAGTCCATCACTGCTACCAGAGACAATACAGCCATTGCTGCTAGAGACAGTGTTCACTGCTGAAGTGTGGCCTTTAAGAGTTGCCTTTAGTTTCCAGTCACTGGTGTCCCATACTTTAATATTGAAGTCATTGGATCCAGTTATTAGCAGCTCAGGCCCACTCTTAGTGAAGCAGCAGCTGTTGATCCAGTCCGGGTGGGCTCCCTGTATTGTGTGGATACATTTCTTGCTTAACATGTTCCAGATCATGATGGACTTATCATGACTGACACTGGCCAGTGTCATCCCATCAATACTGATACTCATGCTTGCTATGAGTCCAGTGTGGCCTGTTAGTTTACCCACTGGCTCTATACTGGGTATCTTGCTCTTGCTCAAGTGTCTGCTGGTGTCTGAGGGCCAAAGGTACATGATGAAGTCCTCACCAGCTGATACTAGCACCTGTTTGGTCCACACAGCTGCAGTGATAGGACCAGTGTGTGCCTCCAGTGATACTGCTTTAGGAAGAGAGGATGGAGTCCATATCTTAAGCGTCTGGTCTCCTGAACCTGTCATGAAGGATCCTCCTTGGGCTATTATCACTTTGACTGGACCAGAATGGACCCTGTGATGAAACACCTCAGCTTCAGTTTGTATGTGATACTGCACCACACTCCCATCTTGATACCCTACTGTGACCAGTTTACTGCCAGCATCATAGCTCATACAGTTACTGCTCCCATTGACTCCTCCATTACCCAGTGACCCAATTGGAGTTCCCATAGTACCAGACCACACCTTCACTAGACTGTCATTGGATCCTGTGATGAGATGGTCCCCAGTGGAAGAGAAGGACAGTGAGGTTATTGGGCCAGCATGACCATTAATAGTGCCAACTGTTATTCCGGTCCTTGATGACCATATTCGGACGTCTCCATCAAGAGAGGCGGAGACTATGTGTTGTCCTGATTTGAGATACAAACAAGCTTGAACAGAAGAGGCGTGTCCCTTTAGCGTCTTCAGTTTCTTCTTATTAAATGTGTCCCATATCCTGAGAGTACTGTCCCAGCACCCAGTGACTATTAGCTGACCCTCAGGATGGAATGAGAGGCAGTTTATTGAAGTGCTCCTCCCTCCCTTTAGGACACTAACGAGGGACCCATCAGTACCTCTCCAGACCCTAATGGTCTTATCCCAAGAGACTGATACAAGGTTCTTGCCATTAGCACTGGCCGAGCAGAACCTCACGCTCCTCGTGTGTCCCTTTAGGACTGATAGACGGAATCCTTCAGTGAGGTTCCATAGGCTGAGTGTGTTGTCGTGAGAAGCTGAACACAGTCGGTCTTGAGATACAAAGCAAAGGCAGTTTACTGAAGAGGAGTGGCCAACCAATGACTTTATCTCTTTGCCAGCGTCAGTGTCATATATCCTAATGATGGAGCTCTTGTGTCCTGTGACTAGTGAGCGACCATCAGGAGAGACGGCTATAGTAAGGGCTGGGTCACCATGAGAGGGGATTGTCATTTTACAAGATGATGAACCTGTTGGTTTGTTGATCCAATAGACCAGAGGATAAGATGCTTTAGCCAGCAGCTCCTTTGCTTCATTGCACACTATTGAAGACTCTGGCTCATTCACTGCCTGTTGGAGTGCCAGGGAAGGTGTGTTCACTAAGATGTGGAGATTGCGAGAGATGAATTCCTTGAAACTAACCACTTTTGGTAGCTGTAAGAACCGAGAGACCTCACGAGCTTTAGCAGCTGGTACATTAGCCAGTGACGGATTATAATCATTCATTAACTCCCTGGAGAGACCAAGCTGGGACTTTTGTACTGCAAACTTGAGATTACAAGCAATGGTCTCCAGTTCCTTCCAGTCCCCAGCCGCCACCAGGTGATATGGTAACTCATTGAATGAATGAGTATCAGTCCCAGTGAAGGAGAGGTCATTGGTTGGGTCTATGTTCGATCTAAAGTATTGAGCTATTATCTTGTGAAGTTGTCTCTCTCTATCAGCCCCAGCCCCTCTCAAGTATCTGCTCTTCACTGCTTTCTCAATCTCCTTGTGTGAGAGTATCAGTGTCTCAGAGGCGTGGCTCTGGTAAGGTTGAAGGAAGGTTTGCATTGATCTTATGAGTCTAGCTAGTACTGATGGAGGGACCCGCCCCTTTCCTCCAGTTGAAGGATTTGAGAATAAGAGAGAGAGAATGTTAGCCATTTCTGTCTCCTTCAGTCCATCTCTCACTAGACACAGTATCGTCAGTGCTGAAGACACCAGCTCTGCTCCATGTTCCTCTTCTAATCGTGAGAGTACATCCTGGAGGAGACCGGCTGTGGTCGTGGGGAGTTTCTTCAGGAAAGCCCCAACCTCTTCGTAGACTCCAAACATCCTCAGCTCCTCACATGCTAAGAGGAGGTAGAGAGGATTACCAGCCTCTCTCTTGGTGAGGAGTAGCTTCATTTGGTTATTAAATGGAGACTCATCCAACTCCTTTCTGTAATGGGCCAACTTACTCCTAACAATGTCAGCTTTGTCTGACATGTCAAGGTTTCCCACTATAACCTCTTTTGGTGGTGGGTCTCGTTTTTTGAGTATTTTGAGGCAGCTGCTACCTTCATTGACTGATAGTACTATGGTGACATTATCAGGAAGGTTGGTTGGGATCCAGTTCAGCGAGCGGCCATTATTCTCATCATCCAACAGCTCAACTCCATCAATAAAGACAATGTAATTACTGACCTGATGTGTTTGTATGAAAGTGATCCATTCTTTAGCTAGTTCCAGGTAATCCCCCGGTATTGGTTTCTTGATCGAAAACCTCTTCTTGGCCTCCCAACAAATACTTGATAATATGAATGATATTGACGAAGAGCCTGGGAATGTACCAACGAAATGAACTGACACAGCATCTTCTGAAAACTTTTCCGCCACTTCAGCCATGAAGGCAGTCTTACCAGACCCTGGCTTACCAGTGAACAATACTACACCTTTTGATTCATTAATGGCCGCTAGCCCTTCATGAAGGATGCTCCTGCGTCCAATGAAAGTCCCTCCCTCGTGTACCATTATCTCTTCATTGAGTTCTGAAGCTAGCTCATAAGGATTCTCAGGCTCCTCCTCCAGTGGGTAGTCCCTCTGTATAGTGTTCCACAGGTTGTTGATGACTCGTTTACCAAAGTCTTCTAAGGAACTCAGCATTGGTTTGTTCTGGACCACGCCCATCCAGTGACTGGGGTAGTTGTCAAATACTTCAATTCCGCTTGTTCTTATTTTAGATTTTAGTGACTCAATTTTCTCCTCATTTTCGAAAGATTCGTCCTTAAAATGCCCAATGTATTTAGTAGGTATTTCATCCATTACTCCTTTATCCCGAAAGTAAAAGAAGGCCTTCCCAGCCACCTTGTCAGGGTCAGCCAGTGCTCCATGGTACATCTCAAGTTCAGTAATGGACCTTCCCTTTGGATAGTCTCTTATCCAGTCGTACTCTTCTGAATCAGGGACACTGTATTCACCAGGGCACCAGCCGTAGCGCTGGCCCAGTATCCCAATGAAGTAGTTACTCTTACTGATCTCAGTCATACAGATCTCTATTGCTTTGTGATGTTTAGTGTCTTCCTCAGTGACCCCCCAGCGAAGGTCAACCTCATACAAGTAGACTCTGAGGTCATGGGCTCTTCTCCTCAGCTCAGGGAACACGTACCTTGTGAGGAGGTCCCTCTCTCCATGCATGTCACGGAATGTTGATGAGATGAATATCCTCGCTGTCCGCCATTTTGTTTGAGGGGCAGAGAGAGAGAGTGAGGGCGTGGTTGTTGATCCCGTGGGCGGAAGGAGAGCTGGGGCTTTGGTGTCTTTAAGTTTGTAAGCTTCGTCTATTCTCTCAATGTAGACCAGCTGACCTGAATCAGACCTCTCAGCAATGAACTGTAATATCTTATCAGAGTATCCTGAGAGGTGGATATTGTTTGGGTGGGAGGGGCTTACTGTACTAGCCACACCCACTGACCGCCCACTGAGATCAATGCTAACAAAGAGCAGGTTAGGATTCACAACATGACGATATTTCTCAAGGAAGTTAAGCACTCCCTTTCCATCATGGCTCTCCATATTCATCTCGTTAGTCAGTAGTATAAGATTATCCACCTGGACCCTATCCACCAGCAGTGACCGTAAGAACTCGGCAGGTACCTTCCCAGGGAGCCCGTCAAGACCATCAGTCGTCACTATATTAAGAACCTGCTCCATGTTGTGTAGTATAGTACCTTCCTTCAGTGACACTTGACTGTATGAGCTGTTACCGTAGACACAGAGACTGCACTTCTCACAAGCATACTTACACATGAGAGCCAGCAGTACTCCAATCTCAGTCACAGTCCTAGGTTTACCCAGTCCACGGGCAGTAGTGCAGGGTTTGTTCATGTCTGATCCAGCGTTACAGAGGACTACAGTGGAGCCCTTGATTGGCTGTACGTTGTGGTAAGTGGCTATCATTAATGAGGTGTCCAGTGCGTTCCTGTATCTCCGTATCACGTCAGAGTCAATCTCAGGAAGAGGCTTCACTTTCTTTGGCTTCTTTAGCGGTTTTATCGATCGCTTTTGAACAGGAAAAGGCATCGGCTTCATCTTTGATTGGTTCTCAAGCTGATTGAGGACTTCGTAAGCTGAGAAGAATCTAAAAGGAAACTGGCGACTGTTAACGACTGCCCTTTCATCAGTCAGTCTCTCTATGACCCACTTGTGGTGGGCCATTGACACTCCAGCTATGATCAGGTTACGGATATTCCTCAGCATCGCCATAAAAGGTAACTTCTTGTGGTCGATAAGCTCCTCCCATACCTTAGCTTTATTGCCCTTCAGTGATACTTGTGTCTCCCAAGTCTCTGGGATTGGTAGTTTCATTCTCTTCCCTGCTCTGTCTTGGTCCCAGGTTCCTGGTAGTCCCGAGCATCTAAAGTCCTCAGGAGTCTCTGGGTATTTCTTTCCCACGAGGCACATGACGTGATCGACTGGTTGTGAGATGTGAATCTTACGTATGATTTGTTTTAATGTAAACTTTAGTCTCTCCAGCTCCTCCTCACTCTCACTCTCGCTCTCTCCCTCAACGCTATCAGTGTCAGTGTCACTGTCATCATCCGACTCATCATCCTTTGTCTTCTTGTCTAATTCAACTGACACACTCTTCTTTACTTTAGGAGGGACTGGTTTAGTCACAGCTGATGCAAATGATTTTGGTCTTTCCGCTGCTGGAGCAGTAGCTGATCTCACTGGTCCTGCTGTCTTTGTGTTCTCTTTCTTTCCTTTTTTGTTTCTTTTATTTTTCTTTTTGCTCGTGTCTTTGTTATACTTTGCCAGCTGGTAGCCGTCAAATTCAACAAACTTTTTGCTCATGACTTTCCTTAGGGCAGTGGGGAGGGATCCAAAGTTGATGGATTTATCGTGGAGGGACTGGTACATCTCAGCTATCTCTATCCAATCGGACGGGAGTCTCACACTGGCTGAGTAATACTTCTTGAGGTGAGGTCGATAGGCTGGGTCAGAAGCAGCAATGGCAAGGAGGTAGTTGGCTGTAGCTCGAATGTTGAGGTCACAGCGAGTGTAGAGAGCCACTTTGAGGAGGAACTCTCCATCATAGTGAGAGAGGGTCTTAGCTAAAGACCTCAAGTGGCAACCAGTTGGATCTTTACGATTGAAATAGTCAGGAGAGGCAAGGAGAGACGTAGCTACTGTCTGTACTAGATTCAGTTTGAATTTGATGACGTCAGGAAGAGCAGCCATTGATTTAGCATCAATTACTGATCCCTGGCTACTGAACTGAACGTGAAACTGAGGAGTACCCAGAGGTCCCTGAGTGAAGTCGTAGACTGGAAGTTCTTCTGATTCTTCAATGACAGCAATGTATCGTGACTGACCTCCAGTGTTAGGAGCAGCCTTAGACCCTGAGCTACTGCTCAATAAAGATTTGGATAACTGTGCAGCTGCTCCTGTCGTTGCCATTGGTTTGGTTGATGTGGTCGCAATAGTTGGTGCCTTCATTAGCTTTATTGTAGTTGATAGAGTTGGTTTCTTAATGGCTGGTTTTCCTGTGTTCTTTCTGCCGCTAAGAGCCACAGAGCTCTTAGATATCAAGGGACTCTTGGCTGTCATTGTAGAAACTGGTACTGGTCTACCCTGCAGCATTGAAGGAGTTAGTGGCTTGGAGTGTACCAGTGGTTTACCAGTGAGAGAACTGTTAGTGGTACTAATGGCTGATTGAAGAGAGGGTCTATCAATGGATGTAGCAGTGACTAATGATCTATTAGTACCAGTACCACTGGATAGCGTACTACTTGTAGTCAAACTATTACTAGTTAACTGACTACTGGTTAAGTGACTGCTAGTTAAGTTACTGCTGGTTAAGTTAGTGCTGGTCAGTTGGCGACTTGTTAAATCAGCTTTAGTAGGACGCTCAGTTTTGATTGCACTGCTAATTCCTGGTTTGCTCCCACTGGCTAACTGAGTGTTAGTCAGTTTACTTTGACTAAAAGAGCTTCTTGTTGATAGACTACTGCTGCTTGTTGCTGCTGTACCACTAGATCTTGTTAAAGAGCCTCTTGTAGATAAGGTTGGCTCAGGCCTGGAGAGTGCTTTCAAGGGGCCATTGGCAGTGACTGCTGGACTAGTAGTGGCTGGTTTAGCTGGTACAGTTAGACTGGGAGCAGCTTTCACCAAAAGAGAAGACTTTGTAGTCAATCTTCCACTCCCACTTGTCTTGCTTTTCTCAAGTAGAGAGCTAGTCAAGGCTGGGGACCATTTCCTCTCTGTCAGTGTAGACATGACCTCAGGGAGTGCCTAAAGGAAGGAATAGTGAGTATATGCTGTCCAGTGGAGGGTTTATGAACCTACTGACTGAGGGACAGCAACCCTTAGCAGAAATGGCTTGTAATTATTGTGGACTGACACGCCCTCTTATGTAAACAATGAATAATAATTAACATTCTTAACAGCACAGCTCTGGAGTGTCATGTACTATATACTACAGGGCATTTTGTTAAATGGCAAAGAGAGAATTTTTCAATCATTGTAATGTTTCTTGATACATATTCATGTACTTATGTTTTGGAGAGAGTTTGGGCTGATTCCAATCATGTGTAGATATTTTTAAAACTCTTTTTAGTTTCTCCGAAATCAGTCCAGAGTACCTGTACTATAGCCCATGGTTTTTTCCAAAAAATGGCTCCGAAATCACCCCAAATTTTAATTACATTTTCTGATACATATTGATATCCTTATGCTATGTAGCAAGTTTGAGCTGATTCCGACTTCAATTTTTCGAGTTACGGCCATTTTAAGAAAACGCCAAAAATCTGAAAAATACCCAAGGCTATAGCCCATGGTTTTTTTCAAAAAATGGCTCCAAAATCAACACAAGTTTTTATTACATTTTCTGATACATATTGGTGCCCTTATGCTGTGTAGAAAGTTGGAGCTGATTCCGACTTCAATTTTTCAAGTTACGGCCATTTTAAGAAAACGCCAAAAATCTGAAAAATACCCTGTACTATAGCCCATGGTTTTTTTCAAAAAATGGCCAAAAAATCACACCAAATTTTTATTACATTTTCTGATCCATATTAATGTCCTTATGCTGTGTAGAAAGTTGGAGCTGATTCCGACTTCAATTTTTAAAGTTACGGCCATTTTAAAAAATGCCGAAAATCAAAAAAATACCCAATGCTATAGCCCATGGTTTTTTCCAAAAAATGGCTCCGAAATTACCCCAAATTTTTATTACATTTTCTGATACATATTGATGTCCTTATGCTGTGTAGAAAGTTGGAGCTGATTCTGACTTCAATTTTTCAAGTTGCGGCCATTTTAAGAAAATGCCAAAAATCTGAAAAATACCCAATGCTATAGCCCATGGTTTTTTCCAAAAAAATGGCTCCGAAATTACCCCAAATTTTTATTACATTTTCTGATACATATTGATGTCCTTATGCTGTGTAGAAAGTTGGAGCTGATTCCGACTTCAATTTTTCAAGTTGCGGCCATTTTAAGAAAATGCCAAAAATCTGAAAAATACCCAATGCTATAGCCCATGGTTTTTTTTTCCAAAAAATGGCTCTAAAATCACCCCAAATTTTTATTAAATTTTCTGATACATACAATGTATATGCTTGCTTATGTTATGTTCTGATTGTCATTAGTTTATAGGCTATTAGTTATAATAATTATGATCAGGCTATAGGCTCTCAGTTGTCATATGATTATTGTGTTTTCTGCAGCTCAAGACTGCAAGAGTTTCCAGTGATCCTGCTGCTAGGGGTGAGGGCAGTTCATAATGGATTTGGATTGAACTTCACTCCTTCAATCCTCTCAGTCTTAAAGTGGGACATGATCATTAAAGACCCTCTTCAGTCAATCATACCAAAGACACTGGAAATGGTAAGTTCTTCTAATGGCAGCTGTATCTATTGTTGATAACTTGTAATGTCGTCTCTCTCTCTTCTCTCTTAGTTATGTTTTGATTCTAGTCTTCCATTTCATTTCACTCCTTCTTTCACTCACTCTCTTCTTGGTGGTTTTGAAGGTCAGCTCCTTCCAATTGCCAATCTGAAGAAGTCGATACAAGTATATTAAAGAAGGAAGCTCCATCTACCATTATTTTGTATATTGTTTTTAGTATCATTTACTGGAACACTTTTATTGGCAGCCTCTGAGTTTCCTTTGTGACTCCATTAGTTCTGGTACTATTAGGAAAGACATTAAATCATTGTCAAAGGATCAAGTTGAGATGATTCGCTCATCACCCAGTATGATGAGGTATTGGTTGGTCTAATGAGTTGGAGCCAGTATTGATTGCTGTTATTGATATTTAGTTATGTTGAATCAGTTGATTTTGAAGAGAGAAAGGCACTGCTTCAAGATGATTCTCATTTAAAAGTCATTGAATTTATAACTACAGCAGTAATACCTTGTATTTTTCTAGGCAAAGGCAGAAGAATTTTTAAAAGATATCCAATTATTCTACCAATCTCTGGAACCAGCAGTAAAGACTCTTTACATATTAGTTTATGGAAAAACATCAAAGGATAAATTGGTACAGATACATATGATTTGCTATTAGAATTTTCTTATAATTATTATAGGCTAAACTTAAAATGTTATTGAGTTACATTACTGATAGTCAAGGGAAGGATTTCTATGTTCAGTGAGTAGGTTGATATGCTAACAGTTAATGACTCCTTCATCCTTAGAGCAGTGAAGCTACTGGATGAGACTGTACTGCAAAGGAACCTCCATGAGTCTATCACTTATATTACTGCAGCCTGTTCAAACTTGAGTGATATTTTAAAAGCATTACAAGATTGTCTGTCTGGCTCTAAAGGTAGTGAATTGATTAGATCTAATTCTTCATTTAAACTCTCCTCCTTTAGAAGGAACACTCTCCACTGAGCACATCTCCACTGTCATTGACTTATTAATGTTAGTGTCATTAGTAGCAAAGGCTATATCTTTTATAATATCAATTATAATTTTCACCTTCTTTCTTGTATAGGACACACATCCATTCTCCCCAGAGGCTCACCCTCCATGATGTCGTGTGCTATGATAGCAATAAGATGACTCCTTACCACATCCTTTAGACTTTATATTAATTTTTATACTTTTAATGCTTCAGTCATGAACAATGATAAAATGACTAATTTTGAACCGTAGACTACAGATACTGTTTATCAATGAGATGTTGCTCCAATTACTGACAGTGTTAAGGTGGAGGGCATCCACTATGCAACTTTGTTGCAAGTACCTTTGATGTGGTTGTCCAATATGTTCCATGAAGTTGAGACTCTCTCTACTTTATGCAGCATGTTGCATAACCACATCAAAGGTTTGACCACAAGTTGTAAGGATCAATACTGCATAGTGGATGCCCACCTTTCTACACTATATGCAGCAATGTTGCTTCCAACATTTGTGGCAGAGCTTGCTGATGTACCTTTTCCGGAGATCTCCGTATACTCTCTGCCCACGTGGTAAGGCAATGGCAGAGTTGCAGAGGATTAGAGTGCCTAAAGATCATGAGTTCATTGATCCTGAGATATCAGGAATCATATCAGTCAAAGATGCCCGGGAAAAGGTTTCTATTTGTTTATTTGTTTTTTATTTATTTGTTGTTTCTTGTAGCTGTTTGCAGCCTATCATTCATTGAAGGCAGAGGAGGAGTTTATGGGCGTGGCTACTGGTGACTGTCACATTCAGAATATAATGGGACTGTCTGATGAAGAGATGAAGAAATGCAACGATAAATTCAAGTAAATTTAAACGTTCCTCCATTAGTTAATTTTTGTTTTTTATTTTATGTTTACAAAGCCCAAAGTCTCTTCTAGTAAGTCATATTAATTAATTAATTATTATTATTAATTAGCCTGGCAGTGACAGTGTGTCGTTACATAAAGTGAGGAGCTCTCTACCTCATGGAGCCAGCACTCTTGAGTCATTCAAGTAAGCCACACCCAAAACTGCCACACCTATTTTCTATTTATCAGTGTACAGTTTGATTGCGCTAAGAAATTATTTCATCCTGTTCCATGTCTCTCGTCTCTGTCAGCAACTTGTTCCAATAACTTGACCCACCCACAAGTACTGATATCTGTTATCATATTCCATCCATTTAAAGTAATTGATTTATTATTATTATTATTATTATTATTTGTTATTATTATTATTATTATTATTATTATTATTATTATTATTATTATTTGTTATTATTATTATTATTAGCGTATTCCTCAAGCCCAGTATTTGGTTCTTACTGATCAGAAATTGGTTGAGTTTAAGGATAAGATCTACTGCCCGAGGGATTATGCTATAGAAACTGATTTCAGTGCTGACCCAAACCAGTTTGATAGGTCCAAGATACTGGTTAGTCTGCTCCACTATTATTAATACTGGTTGTTAATACTGGTTGTATTATTGTATCTATAGGCACCTCCAAGCCCATCAAAGTCAGGGTATTTATTTATTAATGACGTCTTCTTCAATGACAGACGACACCCTCAGTCACAAGATTACAGCAGGTATGTTGTTGTTTATTGTTGTTGTTTATTGTTGTTGTTTATTGTTGTTGCAGTGTTATAATAGATTGGACTAGTGACGAGAAGAGACAGAGAGAGTCTCCACGTTTAAACAAGTTCAGTTCTCGTGACATGAGCCAAGTTACCTTCTCTGACCTCAAGATTAGACTGGGCTACCCCTACCTGTACTGTCACCATGGCAACTGTGAACACATAATGATATTCAATGACATCAGGTGGTTATTAATGATAGTTATGGTTTATTAATAGTTATTAATTAAAGGTTGTTAACTGACAAGGACATTCAGGACAGGTCATTGTATCCATTGTTGAATGAATATATCAAAGAGTTTAGAAAGAGGTGTGACGTTTGTGACGAACTAACTGCAATGTAAGTATAGCACAGTCCATTGAAAGGAGAGAATTTTCTGATACATATTGATGTCCTTATGCTGTGTAGAAAGTCTGAGATGATTCTGACTTCAATTTTTCAAGTTATGGCCATTTTAAGAAAGGGTCAAAATTCTGTAAAAAGTTTTTGAGTTAATTATGATTTTAAAAATTAATGATTTTAATTAATTCTTAATTTAGGTGGTCTGTGATTGATGATCAGGTTGGAACTCAGTCTCCTTCCTATTATTGTGATTCGTGTCATAAGTTGATGCATTATGATAAAAATGGACGGAAGAGAGGCGAATTTAAATGTTATCCTTACTTTGATGAGTGTTCTACATTATTGGAGAGAGGTGCTCCATTAGTTAATGACTAGTTCATTATTATTATTATTATTATTATTATTATTATTATTGTTGTTGTTGTTGTTGTTGTTTTTCTTATGATTGTTGTGTTAGTTTTATTTCACGATTTGTCTTCATTTATCTTCTTTCTACGCAGCATGATATGTTTTGCTTCCCCAAAGTCCAAAAATCGAACACTTTTAGCACCAGCTCCAATGTCATTAACATGTCTCAGTCCTATCAATCATTATTATTATTTAATAGAATAAACCAGTCATCATTACTTGTTCCTGTGGCCTTTGGGTCAATGGTTATGTAAAGTGGTTGGTTGATAGTCTTTTGTTTCTTCTTCACGTAATGAGCAGATTTGAATAACTCAGGATTACCAAACACAGCTGGTTCTGGAGCACCCTCCTCTTCCTTTGGTGATGGTATTATGAGGAACTGAGCTATGTTAGTGTGTCCCTTGTCTTTATTGGACTCTATCACCTGATGAATCCACTCTGATTTGAATACAGCTATTCCAAAACTGTTACTGTAGACTTGTATCACGTCTCTATCATCAGGTCCAGTCCCAAAGAGATACTGGGCAGTACTGCAGTCAGAACAGGCTCCACCGTATTGCTCTATGGAAAGAGAATAACTAGATCAATGGATATATTCCATTACTCCATAGTCTAATGGTCTCCTGGTCTACAGAAGAAGAGAACCAAGCAGTACAGTGAAGGAATGGACCAGCACTGGCTGCGCGACTGGCTGCCATTATGTACTGCTGCTGGATCATGGACATGAAGTGGAGACTGAGCCCGCCCACACAAAATTAGAGTAATTGGATCTAATTAAAGGAATGAAATAATTTCTTACTTACTCTTAAATAGATTTAAAGTGTCAATGGTGTGTTCCTCCTCTCTCTCCCCTTCACGGATTATTTCTTTTGGTCTTTAGATTGAGGAATTAACAAGAGACCCTCTCTCCCTCTCTCTCTTCCCACCTCTCGTCCCTCAGTAGATAACAGGAGGAGTGCATCCCGCGTGTACTAGTGGATCATGAATGGAGATAACGTACAGAAAGTGGACCATAAGCCAAAGGGTCTTCCCTCAGGCTGGAGGAGAGAGATTGTAGTTAGGAAGAATGGTATGTCTGCTGGGAAGACTGACGTGTACTATTACAGGTATGTACCATCCCATCCATTAATAATTATTAATTAATTCATTTATTGTCTTTAGTCCTTGTGGTAAAAAGTTCCGCTCAAAGCCACAGATTGCTCGTTTCCTTGGCGACCATGCCGATCTAACGTGTTTTGATTTCAGTCGTGCCGGTAGTTTGGGGGACGGGACCAGGCGAAGAGCTCGTGACCGGAACCCACAAGGAACCGTCAAACGGTTTGACCCGCGGCACATAGTACCACAGTCCGTTAGACCACTGTCACTGAACCCACTGAGACCTTCCGGACCTGTTCGAAGGACCTGTGGAGTCATTAAACTACCGATAATGTTACTGTCACCTCCTGCTGGTAACACTGAATTGAGGGATACCATATTAGGACAGAGCAATAATGGGAGTGGCTCAGTGGGCGGAGACTCTAAGGGACATACTTTAAATGTGGTAGTTCAGTCGCTATGGGAACGAAGATTGAATACTTTAAATCCAAATGATCACGTCACAGGAAAGGAACTCTCGAGATTAGACCCAGACCCAATCCCACCTCCAGGCTATGGTCCATCAGATGGTCTAGTATCATCGTCACGCATTCCTTTGTTGCTACCTTCAGGGCTACAGCCCCAGTCTCCTGTACTGCCTAGTCTATTGAGTTCTGTACAGAGACCCCAGTCTCATCCTGTTAGTAATAATAATAAAGTAACTAGCGGTACTAGACTATTACAGATACATCAGGACCAGCAGCAGCATCAAGTCAAGTCTCATCCTAACAATATCCCTGCTCGTATCACTGGAGGAGGGAACGTGCTACCAATGACAGTCACTGATTCTGATGTCAAGCTTCAAGAGCAAAGGGTACTCTTGCTACGTCAGCAGTTAATGGCCGCCCAAAGTTCGTTGTGAGGTCTTTCTTTCTACTAATTACAATAAAATAAAGAATTGTTCTGTGACTGATTCACCTCATGCACTGTACACTCACTCTCATTATGTTATGGATAATGTGCTCAAAATATGTTTGAGTTGAAACAATTTCTATTCTTTTTTGTATCATAATTCTTAATATCTAATTATTTTAGTAAGCACTGTCTCTCTTTCCCTCCTTCACATTATTATTATTATTATTATTATTATTATTATTATTATTGTTGTTGTTGTTGTTATTGATACAGTAAGATTGATTGTTAATTATTGTTATAATTTGGTAATAAGTTGATCCCATTATTATACAGATATCATCAGTTAACATCAGTCATTGTCTCTTTGTGCTTGAAGTGGTGGTCTATAAACAAAATGACACTAATATCCCACTCCAGCAGCTGGCCAACCCCTACCTGTTCATTTCCGTCAGAATCAGTGACAGTTCTTTTATATTCTACAGTCTATGAACAATAAATAATAATACTACAGAGTCTAAGCCTCTTTGTAACGGACACGTCCATTTAATGGACTGTGCCTAGTGTACCAATCACACCTTCAAAGTGTCCATTATAAAGAGGCTACACTCTATCAATGGACTTACCCCATCAGGTCTCACTGTAGTTGATATTCTAATGCTTTGTGAGTGGACTCTACCAGAAGTGTTGTTCCTTTTATCACCTCTTGAGTTTAAAATGTCATCAAGAGCTTTAGGATCAGCTTCAACGATATCATCAAGATCTATCAGACTATAATCAATTGATCAATTGATTAAGTTATATACTTTTATCCTTGAATTGTGATTTACAATGAAAGTCATCCTAAATTGCATGTTAACATTATTTTTATTACATTTCCTGATACATATACATGTACTTATGCTGTGTAGAAAGGTTGAGCTGATTCCGATCAAAATTTCATTTTTTACGAATTTTTAAAGTTGCTCAAAAATTGGACAAAAGTCCCTGTACTATAGTACAGGGATTTTGGCCAAATTTTGCCAAAAATGAAAAGGAGAGAATTCTCCATTTTTATTACATTTCCTGATACATATACATGTTCTTATGCTATGTAGAAAGTTTGAGCTAATTCCAATCAAAATTGGATTTATTATAAATATTAAAGGTTTCTCTAATCAGACAAAAGTCTTACAGGGACATTGGCCAAATAAATAAATAAATAAATAAATAAATAAATAAATAAATAAATAAATGGTATTACTTTATTGAGTATATTTCCTCTCAGTAACTCAGGACTTTCATCATAACATTGCTCATCATTAGAGTCTACAGTGACCTCATCATATCAATAACTATCAATAGCCACTGACCTTCTCTTTCAAAGAAGTCAGTCATTTCTTCAAAAGATTCTTCAAATTGTCTCATTGTTCTACATATTTCCCTAATTTTAATAAAGAATTAAAAAAAATAAATTTCAAACCAGTACTTATCAAATGGATCTGCTCTTGGATCTCTTTCAATTTCTGAACAATCTTTTCCAAATACTGAAGAGAAAACTCCAAACATTCTCAGCCACACCCACAAATAGGGTTGACCACACCCACTCTCAAAATGCCTCCAAAAAAGAAGAGGTCTGGTCGGGTTTGTTGGATTCTCCTGGAGGAAGGAGAGGGAGAGGGAGAGAGGTTTCTGTATGTTCCTTCATGTGCTAATGGAGGGGGCCCACTGGAGGACGGATACATTTTAAATAAAGTTCTATTTACCAGACCCCAAGAACATGTGGAGAATGGTGGTTGATAATAATTAATAATAACTTGATAATTCCAGTAGATATTATTAAAGATAATGGTGATGCAGTCTATATTCATCCTGACACTATGAGACATTGTGATATTAAGATTAATCAAACTGTAATAATAATGAATTCTAATTATGAAGTAAGATAGTATTAATTAATTATTAATTAATTATTTGTTTGTAGTTTTTGTCAATTGCTAGAGCCTGGCCAATTAAAAGCATTGATATTCATAGTACTTGATTAATTGATTGATTGATTGATTGATTGATTGGTGTTATAGGAGTGATTGTTAGCAAGTCGTTATGTGAAAAGGTTAAAAATGATTCATTAATATTAATTAAACTGATGCCGCCAAATGTTAAGATATTTAATATCAAAGAACTAGAATTATCGTTAAGGTAAAACTGCTTATATTTATTATTATTACTATTCATTAATAGGTCCAGCCCCAGCAGTAATGGCATTACGGTTGATGAGTCATTTAAACACTACATTGCTGTTAAAAATGGTAATAATGCTAATGATTTATTATTATTACATGTCTTTATAGAGGGCACAATTGTTTCTGTTGGTAGCTTAATTAATGTCACTTTCCTTGGACAACAGTGTTCTCTTATCGTCAAATCGTTACACGTATCACAAGACACCAGCCGTACCTATATGTCACATGACACCAGTAGTGTGTCACATGACTCCAGTAGTGTGTCACATGACTCCAGTACTAATAGTTTGGTTGATGATATTTCTTCATTATCGTTGTCTTCTGTCCTTTCATCTACTCCCTCAAAACCGCACCCAGTGACCATACCCTCACCATTAAAAGCTACACCTCCACAGATTCCCTTACAGGAGATTGGTCGCATAGCACTATCCACCATTGTTACTGTAACCACTTCAGTTACTACTAACGATATAGCTAGTGCTAGTCCTACACTGGATGCCATTGGAGGGTATTCTCACATTATCCTTTTATTGAAGCAGCTGGTTCAGTATCCGTTTGTTTATCCACATCTAATCAGCTCTGGTCAGATATCATTCCCTAGGGGCATCATTATACATGGGCTCCCTGGAACTGGTAAATCATTAATAGCTGAAGCCATTAGTAGTAACGTCCCTCTTGTTAATATTAAAATTATTAATTCATCTGATCTCCTCAGAACCAATGCATTACAATTAATTGAACTGACGTTACAGCAACTTGAATCAGGATCAATTGGTATATTAATCGTTAATGATATTGATAAAGTGTGTCTCAATAATCAGTTGATCGTGTCAGCTTTGATCAAACACTTTGAGACTGTTGCTAAGTTACCTTCTTTACGTCATTCTGTTGTCTTGGCAACGACCAACAATTTAAGTTCTGTTCACATTGAGTTGCGTTGTCCCGGCAGGTTTGACAAGGAAATAGAAATGCACCCACCACAGCAGCTGGAAAGGGAAGACATATTGAGAAGAATGATGGACAAAATACCTCACACCTTAAGCAGAGAAGACATCAGAAGTATATCAATGTTAACCCACGGATACGTTGGATCAGATTTGAAGGTAAAGTACATTATTCAATTTTATGATTATTATTTTTTGTATTGACTTTGTTAGTTATTGTGTACAACTGCCCAGCAGTTGCTGTTGTCTGATTTTGATCCGGAACAAAGTTTTGATTTCCATGTCAATTATGACGTCATGTTGAGATCATTAAGACAAATACAACCGACAGCAATGAAGGAGATTATGATTGAAGTACCCAAAGTAAGAGCAGCTGTGGGTTGTTTCCCGTTGCATAGCTACACTTTGTTTCAATATGTCCCACTTCCTTGTATCAAAGTAACCACAGAACACAGTAACTTGTTGTCTTGTTATTTAGTTGATGTTGTTATCAGTTATTATTAGTTATTATTAGTTATTATTAGTTATTATTAGTTGTTGTTGTTATTAGTTATTATTGTTGTTATTATTGTTGTTATTATTGTTGTTGTTATTGTTGTTATTATTGTTGTTGTTGTTGTTATTAGTTGTTGTTGTTGTTGTTGTTTCAGGTACTTTGGAGTGACATTGGTGGAGAGGAAAATATTAAGAAGCAATTAATTGAGTCGACTGATTGGCCAATAAAGCACCCAGAGGTACACTACCATTAATTATTAATTGATTACCATCAATTAATAAAGAATGTACCAAACAGGCACTGGAAAGGTTAGGACTGAGGGCAGTGAAGGGCATCTTGTTGTATGGACCCCCTGGCTGCTCTAAAACAATGATTGTTAGAGCTTTGGCTACTGAAACCTGTTTTAATTTTATATCAATTAAAGTAATAATAATAATAATAATAATAATAATAATAATAATAATAATAATAATAATCTCAATATTATTAATGTATAGGGTCCGGAAATATTCAATAAGTGGGTTGGTGATTCGGAGAAGGCAATTAGAAAGGTAATAATAATGAATGTAATTAATAATTGGATTAATAAATATTTGAAGGTTTTCAGTCGAGCAAGAGCAGCTGCCCCTAGTATTGTATTCTTTGATGAAATAGACTCCATAGCAACACACAGACAGAGGTAATGAATAAATCAATAAATAAATGAATGAATGAATGGAATATAGTGGTGATGGGTCTAAAGTTGGTGATAGGATCCTAACTCAGTTGCTGACGGAGATGGACGGGATCGAGTCTCTTAAAGGAGTCCTTATCATTGCTGCTACCAACAGACCGGACATCATTGACAAGGTTTGAGAGAGTCTGTTCTATCATCATTATGTGTCCATTAGGCACTGTTAAGGTCAGGGAGATTTGACAAAAAGATTTATGTTCCATTACCAACTGAAGGAACAAGAAGGGAAATATTTAAAGTAATGATAATACTAACAAGTAGAAGATGATTGAATGGATTAATACGATAGATAAGGTTTAAAACTACTCCAGTATCAGAGGATGTTGACATTACTGAGCTGGTCCTCAAGACAGCTGGTTATTCTGGAGCTGAAGTGAGCTAGTCATGTGATACGTTAGTTAATTAATGTGATGTGTCATGGTAGGTCGTTGCTGTTGTAGAGAGAGCTGCTGAATTGGCTTTATCTGATGACATTAATTGTTGTTTTGTTAGCAGGTGCCATTTTGATATGTCACTAAAGGAGGTCCTACCTGGAACAGATGCTAAACTGTTGTCTCTCTATGAAACATTTCAAGCTATGAATAATTAATTAATGAACACTCTATGAATAAATAATTAGCATATTCTTTTTGAGCGTGGAGATCCAAGTTCTCAAGTTTGTGTGTTTCAGCCCTGTGCCTGCGTCCTTGCATCTCTCCCTCTCCCTCTGGTATTATCACGATACAGTACCAGCAGTAGCTGCTCCTGTAGTGTTGAGGCTTGTATTAATGGAGACTAGTGGTCCAGGTGGTTCAGTCTGGGACCGGTTCAAGGACTACTCGGAGGAAGACTTTCTTGAAACTACTCGAGTCCTACTGGCCATACTTCACAATGTGATCCATGATCCAGCCAATGAGAAGAACAGGAGGCTCAGAGCTGCCAGCAAAGTAAAGGAAGACATTACTAGTTGCTATTGTATGTTTTCTGTACTCACAGTTCATTAATAAGCCTGGGATTACTGACCTCCTCAGAAGTGTTGGTTTTGTAAAGAAGGTAACTATTGTATTATTGTGTGTTTATTGTGAAAGTGATTCTTCCTGTGTTGTATAGGACAGTTATTTATTTTTGGATAATCTTGAAGATAATTTGAAACAGTTACGCTCATTAATGAGGGACATTGTTAGTCGGAGGAGAGGAACTGGTAACCCACTGGGATGGGACGTTCCCTCGTCTGCACTTCATTTCATCAAAATAATTGGATCGTCCAAATATGGTGATGTGATACAGGGGACTATAGGAGGACAAGATGTGGCCATTAAGACACTCAATCCTGAGAACAGACTTACTGACAAGAAATCATTTAGACAAGAACTTGATATATTGAGGTACATCATGTTGTTATTTATTTATTTTATTTTATTTATTTTATTTTATTTATTTATTTATTTATTTATAGTCAGTTGACCCACCCACAGATTGTAAGATTAATTGGAGCAACATTGCTATCAGAACCAACCTCATTGATCATAGTGAGAGGGAGGGAGAGAGGGGAGAAGAAGGAGAGAGAGAGAGAGAGAGAGGGAGGGGAGAGTGAGAAGAGGAAAGAGGAGGTATATTGTATGAAAGGGTTATAAAGGTCATGTACACAGATTGGCCTACATGTCTTATCAGTATATACATCAGTTTGAGTTATGATACCTTGTCTCTACAATTACTGCCTGTAGTACTAAGTGATTTTAACAAAGGAGTGAATCATTTTGTGGTTTGTCACCCCACACTTCCCCCTCCTTAGGAGCTTCTGCCTCATTCAATGCTACATTTGCTCCATCAAGGAGAACTCTGTGATGTGGAGATATTCAGATATGCACGTCAGGTTGCCATGGGAATGGAATATATTCATTCTAAGAATATACTTCACTGTGACCTAGCAGCAAGAAATATATCCTAATTAATAATAATAATAATTAATAATAATAATAATAATAATAATAATAATAATAATAATAATAATAATAATAATAATAATAACGATGATGTATGTTTCTTAACTCGGTCCATACTTGTTAGTCTCAGCAGAAGGTGAGGTTAAGATATCTGACTTCAGTACTAGTAGACAGGAGGGGGTGCCCCTGACCAACAGACACTTAATTAATGTGAGATGGAGTCCTCCTGAGGTGTTTAATGATGGAACATTCTCTAAAGAAAGTGACGTGTGGTATGTACTATCCCGTTAGCTGTGTTTATTTATTTATATTTATTATTATTATAGGAGCTATGGTATTTTATTGTACGAGTTTGTTACCTCAGGATCTGTACCTTACGCTAACTTTAGTAACAACCAAGTGCAGACAAAAGTATATTTATTATTGTTGTGTTGTTGTTTATTGTTTGTTGTTGTTGTTGTTTATGTTGTTGTTTATCTTTAGGTAACAGAGGGATATCGTTTATTACAGCCACCTTGTTGTCTTGATGAGTTTTATTCAGTAATGAGCAAGTGCTGGTCTGTCTCACCTGTTGATAGGCCAGGGTTCACATCAATAGTTTCACTCCTACTTAATCCAATGGAAAAAATGCTGGCAAGGTATCAACAGAAATAATAATGTATGCATGTACATGTACTTATGTTGTGTAGAAAATTTGAGCTGATGCCGATAAAGTTTAGATTTTTTATGATTTTTAAAAGTTGGTCCAAATTGGACAAAAGCCCTGTACTATTAGGGATTTTGGTCAAATTTTGCCAAAAATGAAATGGAGAAAATTCTTCACAAATTCATTACATTTTCTGATAAATATACTTGTACTGATGCTGTTGTTTTCATTATTGTAGTACAAGTGATGAGAGGCCATTGAGATATGTTAATAATTCAAGTGATGAACCAGCTGTTAGTTTCAGCACCGAGCGGAGATTATCAAAGAAGTTCAAAGTAAAGGAGCCTACTTATCAATCTGTGGTGACAAAGGTAAGCATGAGTTAATCGATTACTGAATTAATTGATGAATAGGGTGGAGGTCTTGTAAGAATATATACATCATTAGTTGCTCCATTCCATCCTCGAGTGGTTATAGTTTGCAATAAGAAGAGCTCAGTCTCTGATGTGGTCCAGCTGTCTCTTGTCAAGTGTGGTAAAGGGGATCTGGATCACAAGAGGTAGAGTGGTTATTATTATTAATTTATTAATTAATAGTTATTGCTAATAGTTATGCTATTGCACTACTCGATGATGTCACTGATCCTATCAAATATTTGGAATCTGAAGAAAAGATAATGACCATCAAAGGGAACATGTCACCAGTGGCCCAGTTTGTGTTGTGTGTTAAGACTCCGGAACAATCTCTGCTGGATGTAATCCTCTCCATTAAGAGCAACGTAAGCATTTAGTCATTTACATGTATTTATTATTCATTTATTTATTTATTTTTGTATCCATTTTATTAATTTATTTATTTCTCTAGCCCTCCTACAGGAATGCTTTGGATTATAAGACCAAAGGTTACCTGGTGAAGAGCGAGTGTCAGCCATCAAACAACAGTCCCAGAGGAGGAGGAGGGGGAGGGAGTGCCTGGCAGAGGTACTGGTGTATCGTTGATGGCTCGAGCCTGCTGTGTTATCTTGATGAAGAAGATGAAGGTATTAAACAGTTTGAGATATTCCTTGACTTCAGATCAGCCATTGTGTCTCTTACCACTGACAAGAAGAAGTAAGCTCACTTATATCAACTAATTACTTCATTACATTATACATTATATAGTGAGTACATTAAGGTTGAGATGACTAATAATGATGTGTATTTATTCAATACGATTGATAAGTTGGATACTCTCCGTTGGATAGAAGCTATTGAGGCTGCAACCAGACAAGAGCCGTCCCAGTTCTTATTGCAAGGTTCTTCAGGAGGTGCTGTAGTCTTTGCTGGGTTTCTAACCTGCTCCTACTATCCATCCGTATCAACTAATGACCCAGTCACTTCAGTGGCGTCCATTAGACCAGGAGAAGGCCTATCTGATGTTCCTTTCAGTTATGGGAAGCTCTGGTGTGTGTTGAAATCCTCTGGTCTCATACAGTGTATGGTGGACAGTAAACCAGTAGATATAGTTCACATCATTAAGAATATGAATAAGATAAATGTGTATAGGAATGATGGTGGAGAATGTATAATAAAAATGACAAATAGTAATAGTGATGATTTAATAATGATTGCTGACTCAGCATCAGAGCATTATGACTGGGTGCTTAATATTGAGAATATTTTATTAAAAAATAATATCACTGGTTTACTTGTTGATCATACTAACAAGGATAATTCATACATCATTTTGAAAAGATTAATTTCATCACAAAATGGAAGAGAGGGTATCAGAGGCTCAGTCCTGGTGTCTCCGTCTTCAGAGTCCCAAGTATTGAATGATGTCTATTCATTTGACGGAGGTAGGGTCTCTCCTGACGGATGTGAAGAAGGATCGATACTGGAACTGCCTCCTGTTCCTCCTCGCGGCTCGTCAGCCCCTCCCCCTCCTCTCCCTCCAAGGGACCCTCCTCCTTTACCGCCCAAAAAAGGAAACTCCTTACAACGGAACCGAAGCAGCAGTAACAACAGCTACATTAGTATAACTAGCAGCAACGGTTCAATTGAGGTTAATGATGAGTATGTGCTGATGCAACCTCCCAGTGTTCCCTCTTCACTGAAACTAACACCATCACAGTCAACCTCCTGCTCCATACCATCACCCATCACTGAGATATCACCATTAGGACCTGCTGATGACTACATGAAGATGAATCCAGTTTCATCCAGTCATGTCAACTCCAGACCAATTGCCATACCAGGCAGTGTCACCAGGTCATCATCTTCCGCTGGTAAAAGGTGTGTCCTCTTGCATTCGAATTCTGAAACTGATGGAGAGCCTTCGCAATTAGAGGTAACTCCGCCTCTTCCTCCAAGGACGTCCTCCCCTCGTCACTTTAGGAATATTTCCAAGACCCCAGGGGTCACTCGGTACCACTCATTGAGCAGTACAGGAGGGGGAGGTCCCAGTCGTACAAGATCAAACTCATCGATAGCAGTAACGTCCTCCTCCTCTTTAACAAGAAGCAGCAATAAAGGAGTGAGCATGAGTGAGTGTCTCTCCATGAGAGAAGTGAAGGAGAAATTGGGAAAAGGAATGACCTCCTCCTCCTTCACTGAGAGTGCTTCAAGCATTGTCAGTTTTGAGTCTGAGAACCTCCTGAACATCAGCGGATTATCCAGTACCAGCTCTCCTCACTCCTCTATTGAAGACGTGTCTTTGGTTAGTGCATTCTTGTTATTTTATTATTATTATTATTATTATTATTATTATTATTATTATTATTATTATTATTATTATTATTATTATTATTATTATTAATTGTAGCTATCACTGCCTGTTGGTTGGGAAAGAGGATATTCACAAAAATCCAAACGTCACTTTTATTTCAATGCTGATCTTGGTATCAGCAAATGGAATTATGAAGAAGTTCTGCTTATGTGTGACAATGAACCTTCAACACAGGTAATGCCAGTTATCATTAGTTATTATTAAGATGATCTTCATATTGCAACTAGTTGAAACCTGGTAATGGATGGCATTCGGTCAATACTGATGATGGAAAGGTTTATTATTATAATGAAGTATCAAGAAAAACAACTTGGAATATACAAGACACTTTAAATTAATCAAAATTTTAATAATAAAAGAAATAATTATTTATACATTCTAAAATTGGGTTTAGTGTAACAGTGTATTAGTTATGCGTAAGGCCAAACTCCCTTTATTGCTGATTTAGTACATGGGACTTTAGCCAAAAAATGCCTCTAAAATCGCCCCAAATTTTTATTACATTTTCTGATACATATTGATGTCCTTATGTTGTGTAGAAAGTTTGAGGTGATTTCTACTTCAATTTTTAAAGTTTATGGCTATTTTTAAAAGTTGCTCCAAAATCGGACAAAAGTCCCTAGGAATAAAGGAGTACCACAGCTAAACTATTAATCCCGTCCTCTAGCAGATATTGTAAGTCCTTTACTAACTGGTCCTTATCTATATCTTCCCACACATGTACCTATTAACAATAATAGTAGCTGACAATTAATAATTAAATACTTTTTCTCCAGTAGACCCAGTAACTACAGTGCATTGCAGGTTCATGTGACAATCATCTCTCACCAAACAAACCTTTCTTTCACTTCAACCACTTTATCATATATAACTTGAGGCATCGAGACAGACTACAGTGACACAATTGACAAGTAGAATGTTCCTCAATTTTATTACATTTTCTGATGCATATACATGTACTTATGCAGTGTAGAGAAATTGAGCAGATTCCGATCAAGTTTGGATTTTCTATGATTTTTCAAAGTTGCTCGAAAATTGGACAAAAGTCCCTGTACTATAGTACAGGGATTTTTCAAAAATTTCACAAAAATTGACATGTAGAAAATTCCTCAATTTAATTACATTTCCTGATGCATATACATGTACTTATGCAGTGTAGAGAGATTCAGCAGATTTCAATCAAGTTTGTATTTTCTATAATTTTTTAAAATTTCCTTCAAAATTGGACAAAAGTCCCTGTACTATAGTACAGGGATTTTTGTAAAATTTCACAAAAATTGACAAGTAGAAAAATCCTCAATTTAATTACATTTCCCGATGCATATACATGTACTTATGCAGTGTAGAGAGATTGAGCAGATTCTGATCAAGTTTGGATTTTTTATGATTTTTTGAAGTTGCTCAAATGTCAGACAAAAGTCCCTGTACTGTAGTACAGAGTTTTTGTAAAATGTCACAAAAATTGATAAGTAGAAAATTCTTCAATTTAATTACATTTCTTGATGCATATATATGTACTTATGCTGTGTAGAAAGATTGAGCTGAATCTGATCAAGTTGGAATTTTCTATGATTTTTTTAATTTGCTCAAAAATCAGACAAAAGTCCCTGTACTATTATGGTGCAGGGATTTTTGTAAAATTTCAAAATAACTGACAAGTAAAAAATTCCTCAATTTAATTACATTTCCTGATGCATGTACATGTACTTATGCAGTGTAGAGAGATTGAGCTGATTCTGATCAAGTTTGGATTTTCTACGATTTTTTTAATTTGTTCAAAAACTGGACAAAAGTCCCTGTACTATATATAGTACAGAGATTTTTGTAAAATGTCACAAAAATTAACAAGTAGAAAATTCCTCCATTTTATTACATTTCCTAATGCATATACATGTACTTATGCAGTGTAGAGATATTGAGCTGATTCCAATCAAGTTTGGATTTTTTATGATTTTTTAAAGTTGCACAAAAATCGGACAAAAGTCCCTGTACTATAGTACAGGGATTTTTTGTAAAATTTCAAAATAATTGATGAGTAGAAAATTCCTCAATTTTATTACATTTCCTGATGCATATACATGTACTTATGCAGTGTAGAGAGATTGAGCAGATTCCGATCAAGTTTGGATTTTCTATGATTTTTTTAATGCGTTCAAAAATGGGACAAAAGTCCCTGTACTATAGTACAGAAATTTTTGTAAAATTTCACAAAGATTGACAAGTTAAAAACTCCTCAATTTTATTACATTTCCTGATACATATACATGTACTTATGCAGTGTAGAGATATTGAGCTGAGTCCGATCAAGTTTGGAT